GAACGGAACATGTTTTGCCCAGTATTGACGTATGCGATAATAACGGGACGTTTTAATATTTTACCCGGTTGATAAATGACAAAACTTCGCAGACGCGTGCACGGAGGAATGGGAAAACACACGGCAACGGAATTCGCAGTGAACATGAAAAAATATGTAATCTGAGTTATGCGAGGGAAAAAATAAATAAAAAACGAAATAAAATAGTACACAATCAAAACGACAGGGTTAAATCCCCTGCGACAGATTGTACGCTTCGTTAGCGTGCGTCACTGCCAGAAGGAGACGACAATGGTTTGATATTTATTATGGAAAAGAGCCAGACATGGTGAAATATTATAAAAGATCATTTTGGGTGGAAAACCATCGCGAGTCTGCGAGTGATGTAAGGCGAAAAAAATAAAAAATAAGCAGAAAACACACACAAAAAAAAAAAAATAATAATAAATAATAACGACACGGGTTTGAAAATGTTTCACGTCTTGACGTACGAGTTTAGAAACGCATTTATTTCGAGAATCACGAAAACCGAGCGGACAACCGAAAATCGTAAAAGGTATTTAGGTCACCGCGAGCATTGCACACGCGCACGCACATAAACAATAATATATTATATAGCACGTGGAGAAATTGACCGTAAAGAAATTATGTCTATAATATTGTTAGGGCCGACGACGACGCGCACGCGTATAAACATTTTTCTGGTCATAAGTCATATCACGATATCGTACGTATATAGTGATTATATTATATTATTATGTGGTACGTTCGGTAAGGAGAGGAAAAAAACAACGAACGCAAAGAAATGATTCGTTGAAACCATAAATAGCTTCCAAGGACTTTTTTAACACGTTACCGCCGAACACAATACGTGAGAGAAAAAAATTGTTGTTTGTTCGAAACGCGAAACTTCGTCCGAAAACTAAAACGTGCTACGAAATTATACTGTTACATAATGATGATGACGGTGGTGCGGTCGTAAATTATTTTTATATTCGTAATATTTTGATAAAAACACATACACATCCTTACACCATTATTATGATCATTGTTATTGTTATTGCGCATACGATTCGCGCGAAAACGAGTTGTCCATGAAAGTTTTCGATCGGACGCGAATCGTTACGACGATATTTATTGCGGCACAACCACCGTACAGCGATACACGGCCTTTGCCATGTAAACTTAAGATTTCTACCCAGAGACGTGAAATGTTTACCGCGGTACGTTATCGAAAAACGCGCGATTCGTTTGCCTACCGTGAACGATGCGTGCCGAACTGTTCGTTCGTGATTTCGGTTTGCTCCGTGCCCGTTCGAAACGAACTTTACACGTCGCATCGTTTCATTAGACGTTTATCGGCGGAGTGCGAAGGTATTTTTTCTTATGTCGTTAAGCTTGAAGGTTCGGTCGCGAAATATCACACGTTTTCCGGTCGACAAAAAGTTTTTTTTTACCCAAACGGTAAGATACGCGTCTTTTTTTTTTTTTTTTTTACTCGAAAACATCCCTTTGCCGAGGGACACCGAACCGTTACACCGGCGTACACTACCGTTCCGACGACGATCTCGTAGACCGTACACGTATATCCGATATTGTTCTCCGACACGCGCGCACGTCATCTGCGAGGCGCGATCCCGTGCGCGACCGTCGTCGTTACGCGTCACATTGTCGCGCGTCGTCCGACAATTGTAATGCCGTCTCGCAGCAGTCGGCGGTGGCGCATCAATTCTAATGAATTTCTGACGGCCAAAAACAACCCTTTCCACGGGCCGAGACGTGTTCTTAACGAGCAGCCATTGTGGCCCGGCGCTCTTGAACCTTTCGAGACCGCGCGATGACCGGCAGCACGTTCCCGACGGACGGAGGCGCGTCCGAAAAACCGCACGAACGCGATCAACAGATACGGTCATTTGTCAACGGGTTATTAACTACTCCGTTACGCTCGAAACCACGTGAAATTAGGTGTTCTTACCCCCGGCGAAAATGTTAAAATCACGCCCTGTCACTGACCAATAATCAAATACTAAACTAAATTTTTTTTTTTTTTAATAGTCAACGTACAATCATGTTTATTTAGTTTTAAACATAATATATCAACGTTCAACATTCATCAGTCTTCCCCTCCCCCCCCCCCCCCCCCCCCCCCCCCCCGTTCCGCCCTTGCCGTTACGGACCGGGGTCGCAAAGACGTTGGAGTTTCCACGATGCCGAAAAGAGGAGATCTGCCCGACACACGTCGTCCCGCGCAACTGCTGTCCAAGAACCGCTCGGAAATATTCGTCCTTTACGGTTCGACGGTCGTACAGCGTTTTACCGTTTTCGTAGCCGCGTCGATACGTTTTTTACGACGACCAACTACTCGTCCACCAACAAACGTGTTCTATCGTTTCCCCGATGCCCGTTAATTACTTTGCAAACGTCTGCAAACCGTTCGTTCTTATAACCGTACGCCGATCTAAAACAAACATGCAGATTTGCGCTGCCAAAAAGCTTTTCCTCCAGTGAGTCTCCTGGCCACGAGATTTCACTTACGTGCAACACGCACGTTGCGGTGAACCGTTGAAAACGTTGAACTGGTACGACACGACGGGTTTTCTTGGTCGATCGGTGTTCTCAGTCTATTCGTCGTTTCATAGTAACGTGTCACCCCGACACGTCTTACGAAACATTTCATATGGACTTTCCTTAATTTCTGTACCTGTTTTCCTCGGTTACATTACATCTGACACTGGGTTCCATTTTCACGGTCCCTGATCGTACTCGGCCGTCTATCACCGACGAACAAAACCTTGTTTACGCGTGCAGTTCGACGATACATTTAAACGGTGGACTTGGGGCAACGGTACTCAACCTGCAGACCTCCAATGATTTATATGTGGCCCAAACAGAACTCATTGGATTGATAGTAAAATATAAAGTTCAAAACATATTGCTCGCACTAATTTTAGAAAAATATTTAATTAAATCTTTTCGTAATAAATTTTCAAATGTTATACAATTTACACAATATATACATTTATTTTTTAATTTCCGTTTCGTTAATTTCGACTTGCGGCCCGTGAAATATTTTAAAATATTTTATATGGTCCAAATGAAAAAAAGGTTGATTATGGCTGACTTAAGGTCTTGGCATCCGCGGACATAATTTTACGACGACGTCGCCGCGAACGGAAGTGACGTCCATCCGTGACCGCAACTACTGTGGGACGCTTAGATCGTGATGTGAAATCGATAGGACTAAAACCGATCACTGCTGCACAAAGAACGGAAACCGACGACGCAGTAGGTCCTATCGATCCGTTTTAACGGCTGTTTCCGCTTTAGGCAAAATTAATCGTTAAAAATAAAAACACGCTGATCTTAGACGGTAAATATTAGTAAACTTGTCAAGTACGCACCAACATGGATCATCGTTTAGTTGAGTTGCCTTCACGAAACACGGACCCTTGTCGTCTGCGTGATCCGCAAGGTAGGTCACGTCGCGTTAACTCTTCGCATTTTACGCAGGAGCAATAGCTCATATTACAGCAGTCCGACGTACGTAACATATTACGCGCGTAGACACGTGTGTCACGCATCGTCCTTACAGGTATAACACATGACACACGGTGCAGCGGTACGTGCGCTGACGAAATTCCCCTCCGGGTGTCCGGTGTCGGATTCCGAACGGTACGCGACAGTATGCGTTCGGTGGTGGCGCACGTAGTTACGGTTCTCCGGGCCAGCACACGTCAAACGAATTACAAGTCACGTCTAGAGAAAAACGTATAAAAAAAAATAAAAATGTATCGTCTAATCTTGTTTACCCGTCAATATTACATACACACACGTGTACGTATGTCAAATTGCATTATTTATTGGATACATGTACATGTAATACGACTTACGCTCACTGCATTATCTAAGTTTTCAGGTACGCGTTTTAACGTCCATTACCCCCCTGTCCTACCTCTCAAAAAAAACGTTATTCCAGTCCCTCCCGCAACAAATGAATTTTTCTCGGTGAACGAGTTCCGTACGAATTCCGAAAATGGTCGTACAAATCCGTACAAATTACGTACTAATCATAAACTTGAAAAAAAAAATATTCATTTTTGGACGGGCAAGGTAATGGACGTCGAGTTTTAGGCGATTCCTCGTAACTCGATATTAATTTAATTACACCCGATATTCGTGTGTGCGTGTACAAAGGTTTTTCTCGACGCGACGCTGTGCGGTTGAAGCGACCCACTATCGCGTACACGTGCACGAGACGTTGCCAGGGACAACGGTTCTGGAAAATCGGTCGACGCGAAAAGACGGCACACTGTCGGGGAAGACGTTCGAGCAGACATTAAGGGCTGCACTAGGATTTCGTATCGACAATAACGCAAGTGGCGGCCGAGACCTGCCCGGGCACACGTGCAACACACGATTTTTAACAGGCACAGGAGACGAACATCATCTTCTGGCGACTGTTCGTGATCGATCGATTGTTAATTAAACGATTTTAAAATATCGATGATCGGGGTGACGACATCGTTATAATTCGGTTCCGCCGACTTGCAGCCCAATTGTTCACTTCGTCAATTCAAATTTTTCTATAAAAATTACTATTGTACTGCTACTGTACGATTTATACGTATATTCTATATAGTCGGTACGTAAAAATGTATGACGATAATTCAAATTCCTTAAAAAAAAATTTCCAACAACTTTATTGAATTATTAACGAACATTAATCACTGAATATAGTTTTAAAAGATCAATATAAATATTTAGCAAAAACTAAATACTTCAAATAAAAATCAGCGACAGTCTCGTTAATTTTAATAACCGAGCTTATTATAATAACTTGATTGCATCAGAGCGTTCCATTTGAAATGTTGAAATCATTTAAACCAGAAACGTATTTTAAACCAGCAGCGATAACGATATAACTACTGTATAATATTACATATTATATAAACATACGTAACACGCGCACGGTTTTCTAAAACAAATAAAGAAAAAAAAAAAGATTTATTGAAATTAAAATCCGTCCCCACGTACATATGTATATTATTGTTTTCGTGAAAAAACCTCGGACCTACGAAGATATAATTTGTCTTCCTTCTTAGGTCATTTTTCACGGTACACTATCAATCAAATAATGTTCTCGCCCGTTATTTCGTCGTACGATATCTCTTATATATAAAACAATGGAACTCAATATGCAGTTTAAAGTAGTATCGATCACGTTATCCGAAGGTATGTTGTGCGCGCACTAACATCACGTGTCGGGCGGGTATCGCAATGTACTTATTTATTTTTCCGGAGACAAAACGAGAACGGGAAAGCGGGAAAACGAATGACGGGGGGGGATGGAGGACCGGGAGATGTCACCGAATAATGGGTGTTGTCAAATTCGGTTTGCAGGACTTTCGATTTTCACCGCCGGGGTCGGGTCATACAAAAACAAAGCTTACAGCATTAACTATGATCGAAGGGCTCTCCGAACCCTCTGTGCGCGCGACGCGCCGGCCGTGTGTGTATATATGGAGGCGGTGATTTGTTAACATAGCGCGACGTCGGGGGTAAATTGATTGTGGAGGGATGTTTGATGTTGAAATGAAGATAAATCACCTTAAAAACCCGACCCAAGTGGGTGGAAACTATTTTCGGATCGGCTCGTCTTACTGCGCCGACGACGACGGGCGCTCCGAGGGGGGGGGGGGGAGAATAAAATAAAAATATACGCACCCCTTAACGATGGCACGTATTGCTTGCTCATACATGTGCACAGCGCGCACAACAATAAACATAAAAAACGAATCGTCCTGACCGTCGTTCGGACGCGACCGGCACGATTTACATTACTCGCTATTAGTGAATCGTTAAGCGCGCATATACGCATCGTACCTGTTACGGCGACCGTTTGCCTCCGTGAGCTCGTACAAGTGCTAACCTGCTACGCGGTACGCGTTGAAACCTCTGCCGAGCGACGAAAATGGATCAGAAACGAATTCGCGATCGGTGATAACCGATCAAAGTGGTTGTTAAGGAACGATGACGACGACGTGTCAGGGATCGCAGGCGAGTAGAGTACCGAACGGAAAAAATGCATCCCGTGTGGTTGTAGGAAAGTGGGTTATCTTAGAACCCTCAATCATGTAAGAGGTAACCACATCAACCATATCCTGTTCGCACTAACTTACAACAATTACTCACCTTACCAAACTTATACAGACCGTGTCATATGCACCAGAAAGGTTAATGAAGGCTACGCTGGTCTTTAACTTCTTCTGGAAACCAGCTTAAATTAGTGCAGTTAAGGCGAGGACCTGTTCTTCGTAACTTCTTATGTTCCGGAAGCCTGCTTGTTCTATGAATACATCACGGGAAGTGACTCATATGGAGCGCCGTCGAGAAGTCCAATAAGACGTCGGAAACCTGAATAGTGTCGAAAAGAATTACGTCGGGATTTAATAATTCGAATACCATATAGGGTTACTCCGTATTAATAACTTGAACGTTGCGTTACATTCGAAGGGAAATGTCACGGGTATATAATATATATGTATACGTATATACAATACATACGTACATGCATGTAGGATTCGTTTTATGTCAAGTCGAAAACCTACGCCCTTGATGGTTTGCTTGGTACCGATTTCAATATCCAGTTTAATAACGAACGCAGACAGTAAAACAATATCCACGACGGTGATCAACATGATATTACACTAGAGTAAGGTGTGGTCGCGTAACTATTATTTTGTTTAACGTGAAACTAAATTACACGTTTTTCTTAATTTTTTTTTTTTTTTTCGACGATTTTAATGAATATTTGTGCCGGTGAACTAGACGTAATCGAAAAACACGAAATACACCATTTGTCCGCTCAAACTGCCTATTTAATATTGTACATTACGTCCTTGTGTTTTATTCTCCTCAATGCAGTCGTTTACTTTCATCTCGTATCGTGAAAATCCATTGTTATCGGCGTGCAGCGTGTGCGGCCTTATCGAGTATCGGTAAACAGTTACAGTTTTCCGTAGTGCAAAACACTAATGCAATTAAACGCGAGCTGAACGCCAGTGGAATTGAAATACAATACCGCCTAGGCAGAAATTATTTACACCGTACATTTTGTAGTACGTGTGCAAAACAACTCGGATTCGTACTCACGGCCTGCGTACATCCCTGTGTGCTATTGCGGAATGATGTCCGATCGTAGACGTGTTTCGACCTTTATTATTATGAGGGAGGGGGAGGGAAAATGGTTTGCACTCGCACACAGAGTACCGACAATTGTAGCTTTCCCTGTTATACACTGATTGTACTTACGTCAGGATTATGAAATTATCGTGAATGATATGAAGTACGTGATGATTCGTGTTATTATAATACGCTATTTTTCGTACCTATAGGTCCATACAGGTGTGGAATAGCCAGGGAGGTAAAGGGGTAAACGTCTCCTGGGTCCTTTATAGTGTCATATTAACTAACCGTGTACAAAATGTAATATTAAAATATAATGGTAAAACAACAATCATTTATTATTAGAATATCCGAATTTGGACGAATATTTATTAATTAAAATGTAACGTTGGTCCAGTAATTTTATATAATGCTAAAATAGAAATGTAGATGTATACTATTGTTTTATGAATATTATAATTTATAATTCATAGTTAAAATTACTATTACACTCATTATCACACCCATATCTTTAATAAAAATTATTATTTTTTAATATATTTTTTTCACTTACTTAATTAGTTTTTAAGATAATTTTTAAGGTCATTTTTTTAAAGTTTTCAGGGCATTTTTGCATATTTTTTCTATTTTTCTATTTTTCTATGTTTTTTTAGGTTATCAATATCCTAACTCTAATTATAATAGTGGTAGATCACGTGCGTTGCAAAACCGACGATGAAAATTAGCGAAACAAACACGTGTAAATGAACAAATATAGTCGCAATCGTTGTATTCATGTGACAGTTGCGATTAGCTGCGTTCCATTTACGTATCGTACATTAATTATCGATCAGAACGGCCGTCAGCCATCAATATTTGTAAACATGTTCTATGCAGCACAATAATTTATTTTAACACATAAGCGAACGTACGCATGTCGTAATGTTTTATGGTTTATGTTAATTCGGGTAACAATTTACCATCGCGCTTTGCCACACCGAATCCGATGACGTATAGATGTTTGAAATCGTCGTGAAGTCTCCCCCGAGATCGCGTTCTTATCCGAATCCGAAAATCTTACCGAAATGATAACAATTAAAAAAATTATCAACTCTTGGTGGACCTAAGGCGAGATATGTTTATTCGCGGGAAACCGAAACCCGAATAAATTACACGACAACGTCAAATCTGTCGTTAAATTCCTCACCATAGCATTAAACCGATAAATGCATTGGAATCGTCTTACGACTAAATTACGGTTTTTGTGATGAAGAAAGACAGTAGATAACCACTTTGAATCACATAAATCATAAAAGTACGGCTATACAGGCCATAAATATGAAACTACCAGCAAACCTATAAAACACTCAGTTCCGTTGGGTGAACCGCAGGAGTTCTAAGACTTGCACTCCTCCTCTGCGGACCACTAAAATAATATTCTTCTCCTTCGGCTTCCATACGCTTTACGAGGGACTTTCGTTTTGTTACCGCCACACCGTTCTTTCGATCCCGCCACTCCTGGCCATTTCCTTTCAGGGTTCGTCTAAATAATCTCTCTCGTTCTGTCTTTGCTCAGGGAGCTTTTACTCGACGTCTGCTTTTGCTCACACGTCCGTGAACGGTTAGTCATCTCACATAACAAATGGTTTATCATACCGAGTGTAACTTATATTAACGTTTCGAAAATCACATTAACGACTCAAATCAAATAAATTGACGCCCCAATCGGAACTACTCGGGTTGACGCCCATACCCCGTGTGGATGTTCGCATGTCCTCATAATGTTTGTACAACGCGTGCACGAACATCAGAGCCTCTATACCAATGTGGTTGCGGTATGGTAGGTATCTTTATACGGCGTAGGAGGTGACCGTATACCTACTATTGTTGTGCTCATATATATATGTATTATAAATAATATATGTGTTTGAGCTCTCATACACAGGCACACACACACGTACACATACACATACGCGTATACGCACGTTGCAGATGTCCTGCGTGTACGTGTAGACAAGTCGTGAGCGCGGGTGAACAATTTACGGTCCTCAGCTTGCGCCGTTCCACTACTGTTATTTTTTCCCGTGACATTTTTATTATATCCTTTTTCCCGCAGGTCCTGCCCGTGACACACATATAATAATATAGGTGTCCGCACACGTGTGACTGCGCGTGCACACGGACGCACATGGACGAATAATATACATATTTATCATATACATATACGTTATATATGTTAATAATAATAATAATAATAATAATATATAACAAATATGTCGAGACGAAAAAATAAAATACTCACTCACTCTCTCTCTCGCAGTATACGCCCCCTCCCCCTTTTTGTGTCGTCGACGTTTCTGAACGTCCGTTGATCCCTTTTACTGCTGTTGCTGCAGCGTACTCATTGTTATCCTGTCCGAGCCGCGTGCGCATAACGTCCGTGTTTTATTTTTTTTCGTCGTTGTTTTATTTATTTATTATTTTTTTTATTTATTCACGGGCTCGTTTTTTTTCCCCCGTTTTACCTTTCCGCGCGCACGTCGAACGGAAACAGAGCGTCCCGTGCACACCGCTGCAGAATGGCCTTTAATTGGATTCATTCGCGTGATTATATGTGCGTTGTATAAAGAGACGTTTAATGATGCGCGGTGCAAACAGCGCACCGGAACGGGGACAGGAAGATCTATATATATATATATATATACGTACAGAGAGGGACGCGAGACGAGCGTGCGGCGAGTCTTTAATTAGCTACGATGAATAATAAAATAAATAGAAAACGAAAGACCATGGCCGTGTATGTCTATTGCTGAAACACACAAAAGCTCCGGAGGCTGTCAATTAAATCGCGCACACGTGATGACTAGACGACGACGACGCGCGACGGAATGTTTTAATCAGGAAACAGTCAATGAACGCCACGGGGTGGTATGCGCTCGCTATTCGTTAATAACAATAATTATTAGTCTTATTCCTTCGTCCCCCCCCCCTCATCCCCCCTATTCGTTGTCATTCACGCACCCGTTCTTGTCAGCGATTAATTGACAACGCCCACCCGGTGAGACCGGTCGTCCGATCAAAAGATATCGTATCAGATTCTGCTTGACACCAGATACAAATGATAATATTTTCGTCATCGAAACGCAAAAAACACCAATTAGTATAGAGATTTTAATTCCCACGGTTCGAATCACTACTGTGAATACTTGCGCTACGCGACCGTATTTTTACGTACGTATATTTATATATTTTTTAGGCACTACTATCGTTAAAATGTTAACGGTTCAATATGTTTTTTTTTTATTTTTCGTCGAATGACGGTTTGAAAATATTTATTGATTATTCGTGAGACATTACACGGATGTGAGCGAACGTGTTACCGACATGGGAAACGACTGGGTGACGAATTAATCGTTTTTGAATTTCAATTTAATTCGTTCGATCGACTTTTTATTTTACATACGGTTAAAACGGGAACAGTTATACGCGCGTTGTACTCGTATTTGTAGAAGTGAATATGTGTAAATATGATGATCGTAAATCGGCGTTTAAGTTTAAGCATTTTTACTGAATCGTATATTTTACCGAATTAAGTGCAAACGTATGTATGTACATCAATAAGTCTATAGGTACCCGCAATATGGAGGCAGGTACTTGTTATTCCTCGCAGCATAGGAACGATGGTAATCATAAAAATAAAAATAAATCAACCCTAATGTTATTTTTTCCAGTTATATGTTATTTTTTTTGTGTACACAAAACAGATGTTTTTACAATGACTTGTTAGATGCTTATCGTCGCGCGGCAACCATGATTAATTCAGTTACAATATGCGTTTAAATTTATTATTTATAAAACAGTCGGGTCGACTGTAAATTAATGATGCATAATGAATGCGTGTTATCAGATGTATTTTAAGTAAATGTTTTAAATTCCTTATAAATAACTATTAACGTGTATGTTGTCCAATGTATACCTATACACGTTGAACAAAATGAACCATAAATCATACCAACTGAATTCACGTGATGTTACGTATTGTTTTACGGGGGAAAAAAAAACCTAAACATCTGTTAATATTATGTTCTTTGAAATTCTGCTTTGCCGTTCTAAACGAAAATAATCGGGAAACCGGACCTATAAGTGTATCTATTTATTTTAAAGGTAAATATTATCACTGCCGCGGTCTCTGATTATTTTCGCTTTTCAAAAGCGAACAACAAAAAAACTAAGTAACACATAATATAACT